GGCAATGGCATGTTTTTAACGTACAGTGGTAATACCATGTTTTTTTTTTGTTTTTTTCTCAACATATATATTTTAAATTCATATTTTTTAACATGTACAGTAATACCATGTTTTTTGTAGTTTTTTCCCCAACATTTACTAAGGTAGAACGTTTTTTTTTTTTACATGTACAGTGTTTTTTGGACACTTTTCTCAACATATACTAAATTATATTTTAAACATGTACAGTGGTAATACCATGTTTTTTTAAATATACAGTGGTAATACCATGTTTTTTTACGTGTACAGTGGTAATACCATGTTTTTTGTTGTTTTTTCTCAACATATACTAAATTATATTTTTAACATGAACAGTGGTAATACCATGTTTTTAAATATATACATGTTTTTCTCAACATATACTAAATGATGTTTAACGTGGTAATACTAATGGTTTTTATTGTTGTTGTTGTTTTTCCAACATATACTAAGGTAAATCACATTTTTAACATGTACAGTGTTAATACCATGTTTTTTGTTGGTTTTTACCAGCATATATTATGGTAAATCATAGTGGTAATACCATGTTTTTTTTTTGTTTTTTTTTCAACATATACTAAGGTAATTCATATTTTTTAACATGTACAGTAATACCATGTTTTTTGTAGTTTTTTCCCCAACATTTACTAAGGTAGAACGTTTTTTTTTTTTTACATGTACAGTGTTTTTTGGACACCGTAAGTACTTATTTTGCTTATTTGTGTATAGTCTGATTCCTTTATATGCAAGGAAAGACTAAATGTCAGCTATGACAGAATGATTTATTTGTTGTGTCTGAACCATAGTCCACTATCATGTCTTCAAACATCCTCTTTGTAGTTGTCGCAGGAAGCAGTCAGGACGCTTCAGGCATGAGCCAGACGTACGGGAGACCACCACCAGTACGACTCGAGATCGCTGCCATGTGTGCCACAGATGGCTTCACAACTCCACCAACACAATAAAGTGAACGCAAACGCCTCGATATCAGTGACAGCTAGGCATGATGCAATGCTTTGCGCAATGCTGTTTTCCTCGGTCTCAAAAACTACAACTGTTTATTTTACTTTTATAGGCACCAGACATAATGCCAGCACAAAAAAACCCAGTTGATTTTGGCAGAGCGTTGTGGAAAATGCACGTCTGCGCAAACAACTGCAAGCCAGCAACGCAGCATTTAGTAACATGCAGCAGAGCATGATGTGCTCGGGAAAACAAGGCAGCATGCAAAGAAAAACCAGCCAATAGACCCAGTTTAAACTTGATCTCCTGGTGCGCTGTTGCACATCTGCTGAGGTTTTTCTCCATTTCAGTCGCTCTCGCAGGTGTTTGGCTTGTATGGAGGTGGGATTACAAACACATTTACTGTAATGACTTGGCTTGTTCTCCGAGTTCTCTTTTGTGGTTAGTTAAGTGTGGCCTCACTGGCGTGGAACTTCAAAGCGAGGCTCAATGTAGAAATTAGTGCTATATTTTAAATTTGAGTAATGTTTCTTAGGCAACTAGCTGAAATAGATTACGTTTCAGTTAACGTTTATATTGTATTTCAAGTAGCAAATATGTTTTTATTTTAGTTAATTATTATAACACTGATATGATGGATACTATTGTTGTTGTTTTTTTGCTATCTGCTCCAAATTATCCTTAAAAAAGGATAATTTGTATAAAAAATTTATAAAAAATTTCACAATTTATAGCATTTCCTCCCATCAACATTTAGATTAAAATGGTTTCAGTCCACTTTTGACTAGCAGTGTATCTTTACCATGGAGTTACCTGTG